AACATTATGTTCAGAGTTATTTCAAGTACGAGAAACAAATGAACAAATTTACTGTTCATAAGATAAATTGTTCAGTAAGTACCATGGTAAGAATATAAGACTGAATTTTAAGCAGAACAGAATGTATACATCTAATGGAGTATTTTTTCCTTCAAAGGCAGCACTTTGGAGGCTAAAATATTGCAATGATGCTGCCATTTTTCAAAATGTTTTGGAAATCTGTTAAAAAAGAAAACGTTGCACATAAGAAAACTGTCCATATAAGACTGGAACCAGCCTTATTATTTTATATCTCAATTTTCACTCAAAACGTAACTTAGATTTGTTATTCATCTTCTTTGCTATTCATCTTATTTATAAAAGATGGTTCTGAATAACTTTTGCAAATTTCTAAAAAATCCAATTTACCCTCAAAAGATCAATATTGCTTAGGATCCATTTAAAAGACCTTGGAGCCCAACCGGCATGGCTCAGTGGCTGAGCGCCAATCTATGAACCAGGAGGTCACGGTTTGATTCCCGGTCAGGGCACATTCCTGGGTTGCAGGCTCCATCCCCAGTGGGGGACGTGCAGGAGGCAGTCAATCAATGATTCTCTCTCATCATTGATGTTTCTATCTTTCTCTCCCTCTTCCTTCTTCTATGAAATCAATACAAATATATTAAAAGTCTTTGGAGTATATCTTGATCAGAGGCATCATTACTGGAATAGTGACCAGTTTAGACAGAAAATACTCATTCACATGTATACATGTTCTTTAAGTCTTCATCTATTCTGTTTGAGTCAATAAATGTGAAGCCTCTTTTTCAACCAAATATCCTAATAAAAACATGGAATAATTAGCATTTCTAGTATTATTCAAGAGTGTCAATCAAATGGGACAAAGTGCAGCATCAATGGCTATTCAGATATGCCCATGAGGATTTGTTTAAATAAATTGGTATAAAACTTTTTTAAAGGCCTTTTTCTCTTTTGACCGTAATAAAGATAAAAGGGTTTCTTCTTTAGATTCATAAGCATGCCTCTGTCATGCATTTAATTTGATTGAATTTCTTTTGAATACATTTAACAACATTGGCTTAGGTGTATGTGGTCTCTGGATGCAGAAATAAGCATGGCTACATGTATCCTACGTTCTGATATCTGTACAAAAGTGGCACCTCATTGCCTTTTTTCTCCACACAAAATGCAGGGAGAAAAATGAAATGCTTAAAATCAAGTGTGAAGAGGAATGTGAAAAATATGTGGATGTGTGTTTAAGAAATCCAACGAGAAGTAGAAATACATTATCTGGAATATAATGTATTTAATAAAGGCTACAAATCAAATGCCAGTAGCCTTTCCCCTTGTGCCTCATGGGTTAGAGGGGATTTGAGTTGTGTCATAACTTGATACAACATAAGCACCAGTATAGACAGTGCTCCCCTTCCACACAGGTACAACAATAATGATGGAGATGATGATGAACATGGTCATAATGAGAGCGTACATTGTGAAACTCTTACTATCTGCAAGGCACTGTGCTGGGAGGGGGAAAAAACCTCATTTAATCTTCACAACAATCCTTTGAGATAAGCATGGGGAATAGATCCATGCCCAGAGAGGGTAAAGAACTTGCTCAAGAGCTGGAGTTTGACACAAGCCTGTCTGACTCCAGGGTACACGGTAGTAGCCATTATGCTCTACCGTTGTAATGCCTTCCTGAAAACACGCTCATACATCAGATCTGCAGAAGTCTTCACAAGAATAAAATGTTGTAGGGACTTTGTATTCTGTGAAAGGTAAAAATAGTCTAGAAGTCCATCACTACATACTCTTTGGCAGTGTATTTCTGTCAGTTCTCACGTGGTTTTGTGTGCTTTTCCTTCAAAACTGAACCCCAAACCAACCGGTGTAAATCTACTGAACATTTGATTGAAGTTAAAGAGATTTTAGTATACTTCATGATTTACAGATTGTCATAAATAGTATCTGTATTTACATTTTCCACTAATTAAATGCAACTGACAAAGGCAAAATGCAGTAAGATTCTAAAAAACTAGCACAGACATTGTCTTGTAAAGTTGGTGACTGTCAAATTGAACTGGCAGCTTGCTACTATGCAAAAAGTGGAAATGTTTGACAGTTCATCAAGGAAAATCCAAATTCACCTTAAATTATTGCCTCCTCTATGTCTAAAGAAAAAAGTGCCAAATATTTCACTACCCCATTCATTATTTAAAATTAGGCAGACACAGAATGTTAACAGGTGCATATGTGTGCTCATACATACATACATGCACACACAAGTGCACCAGAAGTTGATATGAAACAAAAACTATATAAGTTAAAGTAACTTTTATTGGCTTCCTATTCATATAAGAATGGATCTAAAGTCCACAATGACTAAAAAAGCTTCAAATATTCCAGGACACTCTAAAATCCTCTTAACTACAGATGATTTTACAAACCCAAGAGGATTTTCAATTTATCTAAAACCTTTATAATTATGTTATGTATTGCTTGGGTAATCCAGAAAGCCATAAATTAAACAAACAGACAAATATCAAGAATATGAAAAAAGAAAATAAGCCAGAGGAATGAAGTTCACTTTGTTTCCTAGAAGTTAGTTTTAACAACAGTCTTCTGCTATGGCATTGCTTGGTGTCTTGTGGATAATCTGTGCTCTGTGCTAGTAGATCTCTGAGGAAAATGTTCTACTTAGACTAATAAAATGAGCATGGAAGACACAGTGGGGTAAATGTCTATAAAGAATCCATTATAGCCCAGCCAGCGTGGCTCAGTGGTTGAGTGTCAACCTATGAACCAGGAGGTTGCATTTTGATTCCTGGTCAGGAAATATGCCCGGGTTGTGGGATGGATCCCCAGTGGGTGACTTGCAGGAGGCAGCCGATCAATGATTCTCTCTCATCATTGATGTTTCTCTCTCTCTCTCTCTCTCTCTCTCTCTCTCTCTCTCTCTCTCTCTCTCTCTCTCTCTCTCTCTCTCTCTCTCTCTCTCTCTCTCTCTCTCTCTCTCTCTCTCTCTCTCCCTCTCTCTCTGAAATCAATAAAAAATTTAAAAATCCATTATATGTAAAAATGCCCTATTCCATTAAATAGTTAGAAATGTATAGAAAGGGGGGAAATTACCTGGGCTGACGTTTGGAGGCAGCTGACAGGCCTCAGTAAAAACAAAACTGCTGTAAATCCTTTG